CCGGCTGATTTTTTGATTGATTGTAGAGATGAGGTCTCGCTGCCCAGGAGGGTCTCGGACCCGTGGGCTCAGGCAATCCACTCACCTCAGCCTCCCAAAGGCGCGGGATTACAGGCTGAGCCACCGAGCCCCGCCCCGGCTAATTTTTAAAAAAATTTATTGTAGTGATGAGATCTCGTCAGGTTGCCCAGGCTGTTCTCAAACCCGTGGGCTCAGGCAGCCCCTCACCTCAGCCTCCCAAAGTGCTAGAATTAAAGGCTTGCGCCACTGCGCCCAGCCTGGATGCCTTTTTTTAAACTGAATTTTTTTTTTTTGAGTTGGAGTCTCACTCTCTCACCCAGGCTGGAGTGCAGTGGCATGCTCACGGCCACCCCAACATCGACCTGCTGGGCTCAGGTGATTCTTCTGCCTCAGCCTTCCTAGTAACCAGAACTATAGGCGTGCACTATCACGCCCGGCTAATTTTTTATTTATTGTAGAGATGAGGTCTCACCAAGTTGCTCGGGCTAGTCTTGAAGCTGCAGGCTCAGGCAATCCACTTGCCTCGGCCTCCAAAGTGCTGGAATTACAGGCTGAGCCGCTGAGCCCAGCCTAAACTGAATTTTTTAAAGATAAGCATAACTTAGCAGAACTGTATAATGGCAATCTAGATGTGAAGTGGGAAGAGGTTAATATAAAGAATGATTCCAAATATTAAAGTTTATTACATATATTTTAATATTTTGAAAAAGAAACATTAAAAATATACATTTAAATATTTGTTCTTTTAAAATGATTAGTGCACATTTCAATTCTTTCAGGGTAGCTTCCTGGTCCATTAATTGTGATGTTAAACAACTTGTCAGAGAAAAACTTATTTTGTACTTACCAAAGCCAAAAAGACGATGAGCCTTGCTAGTTCAATGGCCCGTCCATTCACAGCTTTACTGGCCATGAAAGTGAAGCAGATGTTGTTCCCACTGAGGATTAGGAGACGTGCATTATTCTCCAGAAGCCACTCACGGGGAACCACTTTTATTAGAGGAAGAATAGTTATTTAATGAGAAATTACACAATAGTTATAGTAAACATCATTAATTTCATGCAATATCATATCACTCTATTGGAAATACAAAAGCTCACAGCAAATGCTTTAGTTTTTCAATGACAGAGTTCAGCAAGAGTCAGAGATCATCGCCAGGTCACGGTAGCCTTTACAAACATACTAGCAATGCAGTCAGAGCAATTCTCCTATACTGTAGGTCAGCAGGCAAGGTGGTCTAATCCTGTGTAAGGAAAGCAACCTTATAAACTTTAGAATCTAAAGGATCATGCAGGAATAAGAAAAATGGTTTCACCTCTCCTTACCAGAAGGAGAGGGCTTTCTTCTTATATAACCTAAGAGGGTGTTTCTGAGAACTTGAAAAATGGGAGTATCTGAGCTAAATAAACTATGAAGATTTCAAATAATAATAATAATATATATATTTGTAAAGTTGGCGATTGAAGGAAAGTAAGTTGACTATGTGCATTCTCTTTAAACATAGTGCCCCTCTTTAAATATTTTAGAGCATTTAGTGATTTCCAACAGGCTCTTCACTGGTTCCCTGTGGATTATCCTTACAATTGTTGAACTGTATTCTAATAATAAGTTTCTATTATCCGATGTTAGTAAAGATATATTTTTTTACCTGATAGTTCATCTACAAGACTGATAACATCATCTGCGGTCCACTCTTTAGTGCCTGTATCATATAGTAATTTAATGGCATCAGCCAAACCTTTCAGACTGGATTCATCTGTAGGTCCTTCTATCATTTTCTGCCAAATCACCTGTCCTGAATTGAAACAAAAACTAAGCTATGACAGAAGCACTGGCTTTGTGTCTAAGAAGGAAAGTGAACTGCATAACTCCATTACTTATTTAAGCTACTTTCATAATAAAAGGTCAATTCTGATAACAGTATACATTTGAATGTTTCTCACTGATATGATAAAGCACAGTAATAATGAAATAAAGAAAAGGTAGTTTCCAGCCACGCATGGTGGCTCATCCCTGTAATCCCAGGACTTTGGGAGGCTAAGGCAGGAGGATGGCTTGAGGCCAGGAGTTCAAGACCAGCCTGGGCAACATAGTGAGATCCTGGCTTTACTAAAAATAAAAAAATTAGTAGGGCGTGATTGCATGCTCCTATAGTCCTAGCTATTCAAGAGGCTGAGGTGGGAGGATTGCTTGTGCCCAGGAGACTGAGGCTACAGTGAGCAATGATGGTACACTGCACTCCAGCCTGGGTGACAGAGCAAGACCCTGTCTCTAAAAAAAACAATTTTTTTTTTAAGTTGGAGTCTCACTCTTGTTGCCTAGGTTAGAGTGCAGAGGCATGCTCACAGTCACTGCAGCCTCGACCTGCTGAGTTTAGACAATCCTTCCACCTCAGCCTTCCGAGTAACTGAAACTACAGATGCACGCCACCATGCCTGGCTAGTTTTTTTTGTGTGTGATTTATTGTAGAGATGAGGTCTCACCAAGTTGCCCAGGCTGGTCTCAAACTCCCGGGCTCAGGCAATCCTCTCACCTTGGCCTCCCAAAGTGCTGGGATTACAGGCGGAGTCACCGTGCCTGGCCAAAAAAACTTTTTTTAAAAGAAGAAAAGGTAGTTTCACCAAGCAGAATAGGGCTTCTAGTTCAAAAATTAACATTACCCCACAATAGCAATTGGAAAAAGCAGTTGATGTAATGTTAGCAAAATAAAACCTACTGATAGCCTATAAAGAGAGAGCATGCCATATCTGAAAATGTTTCAAACATTTATATCAAAACAGAATAATTCAATTACCTTTTGATTATTTACCTATGACCAATTCCCTTTGTTGATTACTGATGACAAAATCTTAATCCCAGACTGGCTTTCTATTGCTATTCAACATACTTTAAGCTTGTTACCTCTTGACATAAGTCAAGATGAACTAATGCATGATAATTTTAACATTAATCTGGCCAGGTGTGGTGGCTCACACCTGTAATCCCAGTACATTGGGAGGTTGAGACCAGAGGATTGCTTGAGTCTAGGAGTTCAAGACCAGCCTGAGCTATAGAGTGAGACTTCGTCTCTATAAAAAATAATACGAGACCGGGTGCAGTGGCTCAAGCCTTGTAATCCCAGCACTTTAGGAGACCAAGGCGAGAAGATTGCCTGGGTTCAGTGGTTCGAGACCAGCCTGGGCAACTTGGCAAGACCTCGTCTCTACAATAAATCAAAAAATAAGCTGGGCTTGGTAGTGAGCACTTGTAGTTTCAGCTACTTGGAAGGCTGAGGCGGAAGGAGTGTCTGAGTCTAGCAGTTGGAGGCTGTGGTAGCCATGAATGTGCCACTGCCCTTCAGCTTGGGCAACAAAGTGACTCCAACTCAAAAAAAAAAAAAAAGAAAAAAATCCTTTTTGCATACAAAATTAAATAAAGTATCAATTTGACTACTGCTTTGCCTCACTAGCACTATTAGTTGCTTCCAGCAGCAAATGTAACTTTGAATTAAGATAATGTTTAAGAATGAGGCCAGACTCGGTGGCTCAGCCTGTAATTCCAGCATTTTAGAAGGCCGAGGCAAGTGGATTGCCTGAGCCTGTGGGTTCGAGACCCACCCAGGTAACTTGGCGAGACCCCGTCTCTACAATAAACCAAAAAAAGATTAGCCAGGCACAGCAGTGTGCGCCTGTAGTTCTGGCTACTTGGAAGGCTGAGGCAGAAAGATTGCTGGAGCCCAGCAGGTAGAGGCTGCGGTGGCTGGGAGCGTACCATTGCGCTCCAGTCTGGGCAACAGAGTGAGACTCCAACTCAAAAAAAAAAAAAAAAAAAAAGAATGAAAAGCATTTTTTAGTACACGAGAGACTATAGGAATACATTTATTTGGTAATGGACTACAACGAACAATTTCTGACTTAGATTAACTTAGGTTATGCACAAGTTAATGTAGTATACATCTATGAAATCATGAAAAGCAGTTTAGTCAAAAATGATGAAACTGAGCAGGTACAAAATATATGCTTTCTAAAGTAAAAATAATCAACCAGTTATGTAACATACACCCTTGAAAAATGAGTGCTCACCATCTTGAGGAGATATTGGCCCAAAGATGATATACAGTAATCTTGCCTGATTCACTATCGGCCATGGTTTTAATATTCGTGTCAGCCAAAATGCAAAATCACTTCGATGTGTCCAGTGATCAAGTAGGACATTTCTACAAAACAGTCTGATCCTTAACTCCAGTTTTCGGGCGCTTCCTATGATCACAAAAGAATTGTAAACCATTTTTCCTAGGAAAACTGATATACATATTTGATAGAGATCACAGCAACTTATTAAGCATTGTGGTAAAACAGTGATAGTAAACTGAGTTTTTTTTTTTTTTGAGTTGGATTCTCACTCTGTCGCCCAGATTGGAGTGCAGTGACCGTTCCCGGCCACCGCAGCCTCGACCTGCTGGGCTCCGGCGATCCTTCCGCCTCAGCCTCCCAAGTAGCTGGAACTACAGGAGTGCGTTACCACGCCTGGCTGATTTTTGATTTATTGTAGAATGAGGTCTCACCAAGTTGCCCAGGCGGGTCTCGAACCTGCGGACTCAGGCAATCCACTCACCTCGGTCTCCCAAAGTTCTGGGATTACAGGCTGAGCCACCGAGCCCGGCCATAAACTGAATTTCTAAACAAGAAGTAACCAAGAGATTATCTGTAGCTGAGATGCCCTAATTTCATAACTGGACTATCTACTTACCCTTACCTTCCTGCTTTATAGTCAGTACTTTGAATAGTGAATATTATTCAAATAATAAAGACATATCTTATTTATTAGCTATTATTATTATTACTGAGTCAGAGTCTCACTTTGATGCCCAGGCTGTAGTGCAGTGGCCCATTGCAACCTTAACCTCCAGGACTCAGGTAACCCTTTAGCCTCTGCCTCCCAAAGTGCTGGGATTACAGGCGTGAGCCACCATGCCCAGCCAAAAGACACACTTTAAAAATAAATAAATAAGCCGGGCTCGGTGGCTCAGCCTGTAATCCCGCGCCTTTGGGAGGCTGAGGTGAGTGGATTGACTGAGCCTGCGGGTTCGAGACCCGCCTGGGCAGCGAGACCTCATCTCTACTATAAAAAAAAAAAAAAAAAATCAGCGGGGTGTGGTAGAGCACGCCTGTAGTTCCAGCTACTCGGAAGGCTGAGGCGGAAGGATCGCCGGAGCCCAGCAGGTCGAGGCTGTGGTGGCCAGGAGTGGCCACTGCACTCCAGTCTGGGTGACAGAGTGAGACTCCAACTCAAAAAAAAAAAAAAATAAAATAAAATAAAATAAATAAATAAATAAATGCAGAGAAAGGTCAAAGACGTATCAGCGGGGAGAAGTGGCTCAAGCCTGTAATTCCAGCACTTTGGGAGGCCAAAGTGGGAGAATCACTTGAGCCCAGGAGTTTGAGACTAGCCTGGGCAATATAGTGAGACCCCTGTCTCTACAAAAGATAAAATAAAAAGTTAGGCAGGAATGGTGGTGTGTGCCTTTAGTCCCAGCTACTCAGGTGGCTGAGGTGGAAGGATTGCTTGAGCCCATGAATTTGAGGCTGAAGTGAGCTATGATCATACCACTGCACTGAAGTCTGTGCAATAGAGCAAGACCTTGTCTCCTAAAAAAAAAACTGCCGGGCTCGGTGGCTCAGCCTGTAATCCCGCGCTTTTGGGAGGCTGAGGTGAGTGGATTGCCTGAGCCCGCGGGTTCAAGACCCGCCTGGGCAGCAAGACCTCATCTCTACAATAAATCAAAAAATCAGCCGGGCGTGGTAGCGCATGCTTGTAATTCCGGCTACTTGGAAGGCTGAAGCGGAAGGATCATCTGAGTCCAGCAGGTTTAGGCTGTGGTGGCCGGGAGTGGCCACTGCACTCCAGTCTGGGCGATAGAGTGAGACTCCAACTCAAAAAACAAAGCAAAACAAAACAAAAAACTGTCAATATACTTTGTACTGAAAGTGTTATTTCATTGTCCTCTATAAAGTTTTTAGATTATCAAGGGACTACTTTTTAAAGCAATTTTATTTAGATGTACTTTACATACCATACGATTTACCCATTTAAAGTGTACAATCCAGTGGTTTTTTCTTTTTTAAAAATTATAGACATATGGGGTACAAGTCAGAATTAGCTACACAAGCAGGCTTCATGCAGGTGAAGTTTGGACCTCCAATGGCCTTCACTTCCTCTGTTTTAGGACCAGGTACACTTTGTAATGCTATATGCTCCCTCCCTGCAATCCAATGGTTTTTAGTATATTCAGTGATATGTGCAGTTATCACTGTTAATTTTAGAATATTTCCATCACTTCAAGAGGAAATGCTGTTCTTTAGCTATCTCCCCCATCTCTTGTCTTTTTCTATCCCCAGCCCTAAGCAACCAATACTCTACTTTCTGTCTTTATAGACTTCCCTATCCTGGATTTTCATTTGAATAAAATCATATAATATGTGGTCTTTGAATGGCTTGTTTCACTTAACATAGTGGTTTCTTTTTTTTTTTTTTTTTTTTTTTGAGTTGGAGTCTCACTCTGCTGTCCAGACTGGAGTGCAGTGGTATACTTGACCTGCTGGGCTTAGGCTATCCTTCTGTCTTAGTCTTCCAAGTAGCTGGAAATACAGATGCATGCCATCATATCCAGCTAATTTTTTGATTTATTGTAGAGATGAGGTCTCGCCAGGTTGCCCAGGTTGGTCTTGAACCCATGGGCTCAGGCAATCCTCTTGCCTCCGTCTCCCAAAATGCTGGGATTATAGGTGTGAGCCACTGTGCCTGGCAACATAGTGTTTTCAAAGTTCATTCATCTTGTAGCATATATTAGTACTTCATTCTTTTTTATGGTCAGCTGATATTCTACTGTATAGATATACCACATTTTGTTTATCCATTCACCCATTGATGGACATTCACACTGTTTCCATCTTTTGGCTATTATGAATAATGATACTATTAACATTCACGTATACATTTCTGTGTGGACATATGTTTTCATTTATCTTGGGGTTAGAGTCAAAAGTGAAATTGATAGGTCATATGATAAACCTATATTTAATCATTTGAGGGACTGTTAGACTGCTTTCCAAAGTAACTGCACCATTTTACATTCCCACCAGCAATATCTGAGAGTTGTCTTCACATTCTCTCCGACATCTGCTGTGGATATGAAATGGTATCTCACTGTCTTTTTTTTTTTTTTTTTTTTTGAGTTGGAGTCTCATTCTGTCCCCCAGATTGGAGTGCAGAGGCCACTCTGGCCACCGCAGCCTCGACCTGCTGGGCTCGGCGATCCTTCCGCCTCAATCTTCCAAGTAACTGGAATTA